ACTTCGTGCACCTGTCCCGTCCATCGTCTCCCCTCAAGGCTTCAGGGAGAAGACCACCGTCTCCCTGCCTACCGGCACCATTCACACTATAGCCGAGGCTAAGACCCGGCCCAAGGTTACCACCGCTCGCAACACTCGAGGGGTAACCTGTGGCATTGCCAGACTGACTAACGCCAGCGCCAACCCCTTGGTGACTAACGCCACCTCCGTAGGCAGGACCATAGAAACTGGAACCACATTGATTGTTCCCAATTCCATGAGCATCCGCAGCACTACCGTGGAACCCGGGCGCTCCACCAGGGTAACCCCCGGTAGGATCCCCTCCACTCGGGCCTCCAGAAGGCCCAGCGGGATCTTGGCCTCCACCATAATGTCCAGGACCTGGCGGTGGAGCTGGGGCATGTCCATGCCCACCACTTCCGCTCCCACCTTGACCAGTTGGTCCGCCTTGCCCACCACCTCCCCCGGGAGGAGGAGGAGGGGGCGGTCCAGCTTGAGCGCGTTCATGCCGAATATTGCAGCGTGCACATCGCTCAAGGCCGGTGAGTCCCACAACCCGTACAGAGATACATGGAGACCTCCTGAGCATTCTTGCGGCATGCCCAGCATTTCATCTTCAGGAACTGACAATTGCAACAGTCCCCGTCGTCGCCACGACAAAGCCCGCAGAACTCACGACCGCATGTCACACACGAGAATTCAGCATTCGGGTGCCTACGGTCGTTGGGATCATCGAGGGCACAAATCTTTGGCGCGTCTGGGCCAGCACCGCCGGGAGCCCCTCTTGCAGCCGGCGCTGAGGCCTGTCCACGATCCGAAGGAGCTCCAGCAGTCCCTCGCCTATCGCCGGGACTCTGGGTGTCGGCGCTGACTCTGCTCCCAGGAGTCCTCCACTCATCACCAGGACTCTGGATGTCGGCATGGACCCTATTATCTCCACCACCTCCTGAATGACGACCTGGGTTCGGAGAGACGTTCCCGCTATCGCGGATTGGCCTATCAAAATTCGGAGAGACGCTCCCGCTATCGCGGATCGGCCTCTCCCCCCTCGATTGTCGACTCCGGGCCTCAGATCCCCTATCGGGGACGGCAGCAGGCCTCGGGCTCCTATTCCTACCCGCATCCCTATTGGGGGAAATAGAAACGTCCCCCCTTGCGCGCGCGCGGGGACCACCCCTTGCACGCTCCGGTGGCGAATGCGACCTGTCAGGCAACCCCCGAACTCTCCTGCTCCTGCTGTCGGACCTCTCCCTAACGGGATAGATGGGATGCCTGTCTGCGCGAGAAGGATCGACCCTATCGGGCACATTCGGCAAAACATGATCAGGCAAAACAACGCCTCCGCCTGGTCTCACCGGCAGGCCAGTACCCCGGCCGTCACCTTCCCCTGGTGTAGGCGTCGGTGACCTGATCCTATGTCCTTGCCCCGCAAATGCATGGTAACCAACATTCCGCCTTTCTCTGGGTTGTGGAGGAGCTTCATTAATCTGCTGGACACCCTGAATGATGCCAGCAGCCTCGTCAAATTGACCCTCCATCTCAAAGAGCTGGGACATGATTCTGTTGTTCGCGGCGCTAAGGTTACGCACGTTACCATCGATAGCGCTGACTCTCCGCATAACACCTTCAAGTGTACTCCGGAATGTGCCGAGCTCTCGCCTAACGGCAGGCTGCACTTGGTCACTGCTGGCAGGAAGATTACGGATCTGTCCTTGGATGCCATCAACGACCCGATTCACAACTGCCGATCTCGCTTCATACTGTTCAACATGTGACTTCACGGTTTCAAACCTCGAAATGATGTCGTCATGATCCCGACGTTGACGTTGAATTCCTCGAGCCAGATCCTGCATCTTCCGATTGATCTCGTCAACAGCCTCATGCCAGTCCTGCGGGGAATCATGCCCTGATGGTCTATCGACCTCCTGAGAACCCCTTCCACTCTGCAGTCTAGACACTCGATTAACAAGACGAGTGTGCTCCTCTTTGACCCCCTCAATAGATTCAGAGGCCCACTTGGCAAATGTCTCGTGATCAAGGAGAGCTTTCTCGATCTTCAGGTTTAACTCCCTGAAATTTGCATCGACTACACTGCCGCTGGCCCTATCGGACGGATTCGCGACAGGATTCGGGTTCCATACACCCGCCGGTGTCCGCATCCCAACGGTTTTCTCTACCGAGAACATCCGTTTCTCAAGCTTGTCCAAATCCTTAAGGGTCTCGTCCTCAGAAGCAGCATGGCTTCTGCGGGCAGCCTCACTATTCTCCTGGATCATCAGGCGAAGCCGATCAGTCGATGCCTCATTGTCCCTGACAGATTCATGGACCTCGTGGGACAGTAGGTTAATCCTCTGCTCCACGACCTCGGCTTGCTCATCGATGGCTTGCCTCGCAATGGCCTTGCTATCGGGAATAACTTCCCTTGCGAACCGTTGAACTATCATTCGCATCCTCCCGGCATCAGATTGAGTCGCAACCTCAGCTGCCAGGCGATCGACCTTGTCCTTCGTCCGTTGACTCTCGTCACTCCATTCCCTTCGCATGGAACTCACCTGACCGTTCAGTACCCTGATTTGGTCAGCAAAGATGTGGAACGCCTTCGCGACTGAGCCAGAAACCTCACCTCTCTCGAGCATCTCCTGGATGTGCAGATCGAACACCTCCTTCGCCCTAGCGTCACCTGATTCGCCGGAAGACTGGGATCTGAGGGCGGGAGGAGTCGATATCTCGATCCTCTCAGGAGCCCCACTAGCCCCGACATGTTTTCTGGGGTCATCCACGGGACAATCATCAATCCTGGATGGTCTACTCGGGGTAGATCCCCTTCTCCGGCTATCGCCAGATCGAGGATCAATGGTGGATGCACGTGACTCGGGGGTGGAGTGGATGTGAACATCAGCGGGATCGGGCATCTCCTCATCCTGCGGAGTTGAATCCATTGGTGAGGGGCTAGCCCTCCTCGCCTTTGACCTATCGGTCTCAGCGGCGAGAGGTGATGGTCTCTTCGCAGAAACACTACGTTCCCTGGCAGTCGCACCCCATTGAGGTGTGAACTCGTTGCTAGACCTCAGAGTTTCAAGATCACTGGTATCTCGCCCTAACGGGCTAGCGATCGACGGACGATCCTCGATCCCGAGTGCATCGGCAAGCCGACCATCTCTGGCACCTGTCCTAACAACATCGGCAGCTCGCTCAGTGATCCTCGGTGAACCAGTAACCCGGTTCGAGTTCACGTCTCTCTGACTCAACGGACCTCCAAATGTGATGTTGGGAAAGGGGGGAACATTCGGGGAATCACCAATTGCCGGGGGACCTACCGGTCCCTCGCGGTCATGAATGGCCTCCAATCCCCGAAGAACTTCCCGACTATCCCTGGCTCTCTCCCTCTCGCTTCTGGCGTCCCTGTCAACACGAAGGTCCCTGACGGCTCCACGAGAGAGGCTCCTGGGCCTCGCAGCATCACGGATCCTAGCATTTCGTCGTGGTTGGTCCTCCTCCTCATCACGGCGATCCGCAAATGCGGCATACTCGTCATCATCATCGACCTCAAACTTGGCAGCGGCGGGACTAGTCCTTGCGGTCTCACGGCTGCCTGCATCTCGGCGCGAATGGCTCTCCTCCTCATCCGCAAAATTGTAATCTTCGCCATCATAAGACTCAGATTTTGTAACCTTCGCCATCATAAGACTCAGATTTGGCAGTATTAGGGTTGGGCCTACCGGCATCAGACCCCTGCTTTGAGCTACTGCCCCAACCTGCGGTTGATTTCAACAGATCATCGTATCCGAAGTCTGAGAACTTCCGCTCCTCGTGCTCATCAAACTGACCTGGATTCTGAGAACCAGTGGATCGGCCCGGGATACCTCCCGGAACCAGAACCATAGTCCCTGGTCCCTGCGGCCTACTCTCAAACTCCTCCGAGACCTGCGACTCACCTGGAACAAGAGATCTCGGAGGTCGAATCGGCATGGCCTCCGGGTCATCCGAATGAGGGCGGGCCATGTCCATCGCCATGCTGATGAAGTCAACACGTCCACGCCTATGACCTGATTCAGAGCCACTCCTACCGGAGTAAACCCTTCGTGTCTGCTCGTCATCAGTGGCCTGGCGGAAAATACGATCGTCTCCATCGTCGGCGTACCCGCCACGGCTCCTGGGTGTATCCCTACCGGGATCTTCACCCCTGCGGTCCTGACCTGTTGAACCTGCTTCGAAATCCTCGTAGTCATAGTCCGGCAGGTCCTCACCTGAGCGGAGGCCACCTAGGATGGCCTCCTCATCCACGACACTCCTGCGAGATCGTGGGGTCGACATAGAGCTTGTAGTTGATGGTCTCAAGCGCGTAGGAAAGTCCTACGGCTGATAACCTGTGATAATGGGAGAGGTGTTGTCCTTGACCATCTTTGTGGCGCCGGGTCTGTGGTTCAATTCCCGCCGGGGACGCCTACCACGGGGGGAATCGGCAACTGGCGGACTGCGCTGGGTCAGTGGCGGTGCGGGCATGGTGGTTCCCATGGTGGGCGTTCCCGATCATACGGCTGATAACCTGTGATTCGGGCACGAGCCTGTGCCCAGGCAATGGGTAAGTTGGGGTAAACAAGCCACAAAAGAAAGGTTCCCCAAAAAGCAAACCAATCCCCGGTCCCAAAGATCAGGGTTTCCCACACACCAGAGAACAACAACCAAAAGGAAACAAACCAAACAAGAAAAGGGTTAACCCGCAACCTTGGTCGACAACAGGCCGCACGACTGGTCCCTACCAACCTGGCGGCGGCCCGAGGTCCCTTTCTCCCCCGAGATGCCGTCGGTCGACGCAGGGGTTCGGCGACGCCCATTCGAGGCGCGACGGAACCCAAAACTTGAGCCAAACACCACAGGTCAGTCACTACCGCGACATCCCTGGTGATGTAATAAACCATGGCTAATCACAAAAAGCAAATTTGGATACTTCGAGCTTCTTGGCTCCCTCCCAACCACGCTGCAGTGCAGCGCCGAGTGGCAGATATGCCCTGCACAAAGACGCCCGTTCCTGCGCTCAGCAAACCCGACCGCACAAAAAACCAGCAACCACACAGCGGGGGCTGTCAATTGCACACAGCACAGAAGGACACCTGGTTCTCTCGTATACATATACATATATATATATATATATGTATATATGTATTATTGTTGAAGGTTGATTGATTTGTGTACACTTCTTTACACCCTACATTCAGGCTCAACACGTGCCTCTGACGCAAAAGGACAACAAACCCAGCATGGCCGATGTTAGGCCTTGTTCTCACATCTGCAATCTACTGCTCGCTTGACTTTGGCTAAACGTATCCTAGTGGGTCCAATAAAGTGACATCCTCAAAACTACCCTCAAACATGGTGGTTCAAAATGGTTTCCACCTTAAAGGACTCTGCCTTACACGGCCATGCGTCCAAAGCCCAAATTGTGTCAGGCCCAAGCGACACGTACCCGCGGTTTCCCTCGTTTCGCCTGCAGCGAGCAGAACCAGAGAGATCGGATGGTTGAACTCCGCCAGCAGCGCCACCAGGAAACCGATGATGTAGTGGTGCAAATGAATGTAGACCCCTGCCGTCTGCGACCTTCGATACGAACACACGCGAAAGCAACCGATCTATGCCAAACAAAAACACAGAACTCTCCTGGAAGGGTTCCGAAACGGCAAGTTGTGCTAATAACACCCAACTTGCGACTGTTTTTCCATGTTAATTCCCCAAAAACAAAAAACACCTAAACTAATACCCCTCCATATCAAAATCAGGGGCCCCAAAGCATGGAGGGTTGCCCACTTTTCGTTTTAAACCAAAGAAGGGTACTGAGCCTCAAGACGACGCTCTGTGGCTCCGGGCGCCACATAGAGATACGAGGCATAGAAGATCCAAATCGAGAGCCGGGAGACGCTGTAGGCCAAGAAACCTGAACACATCCGGCCGATGGCACTTGGAACCCCCAGATTGCCACAAAACAAGTCATTGAAAAGAAGGCTTCTAAGGAAAAGTCATGAGAGTACAACGGCTACCCGGCCTTGGAGCTGTGTAAGGGAATGGGTTTATGTGGAGTTGTTGGGAGACATTTGACAGCACTGTGAGCGCAAATTGCCCCTCAGAATTTGCTTGCGCGGTTTGGCAAACGTGTACCAGTGCTAGCAATGACCAGAACAGCAGACAAATGTGTGTGTGTGTGTGTGTTGTGGTGTGTGTGTGTGTCTCTGTGTCTGTGTGTTGTGGTGTGTGAGTGTGTGTGTGTGTCTCTCTCTCTCTCTCTCTGTGTGTGTGTCTGTGTGTGTGTCTCTGTGTCTGCGTCTGTGTGTGTGCGTGTGTGTGCGTGTGTGTGTGTCTGTGTGTGTGTGTCTCTGTGTGCGTGTGCGTCTCTCAAATAGGGGAGCCTAAAAAATGGTTGCCGTCCTTCTCTTGCTTTTCCCCGAAAGCATCCCGAAGGTTGTTCTTGTGCAGAGCCCTTGAAAAAAAAGCACAGAGCAACTTGGACGGGATCACTTGCGCAGAGCAAGCTGCGCAGAGCCACTTGCGCAAAGCACTGCTCAGATCTACTTGCGCAGAGATATGTGAATTAAGGTTAAGTTCTACGGAGAAGATTCTTAACGCACGTGAGAGAGCTCGGCAATAAGATTCTTCTTTTTGGCGGGTGGTGTGGTTGAGCACTTGAAAAGAGACACTCGAAAAGAGCTACCTGCATAGAGCAATTTGCATGCGCGACACTGCGCGGAGTTGCACTTGCACAGAATCCAAGTCTGCAGGATCTTTAGCTCATGTGGGACACTCTCATTCTTGGGGGCTTGTTGTCATCGTGGGAGGGTCGGGGCTTGACCAAACATAGTGGCAAGGCCAATCGTCTACTAGTTCTCTAAAACCACACCTCAACCCTCAAACACACACACACACAAATTGATCGAATTGATCACGCTGGCAGCTGAAAGGGAAGACTACGTGAAACAAGACAAGACTTGTTTGCAGACACCTTTGCGGCGGCAAGGAACAAAGGCAGGTTTGTGCGCCATGCAGTGTTTGAACCAAGATTCCAACACCCTCATGAAGGCAGCAATGAACCCACGGCTCTCTAATGAGTGTTGCTGAGGAACATGCATGCACGCACACACACACACACAAACATGCCGAATGAGACCCCAATACTGCAGAAACAGGATGCAGAAACAGGAAGCCGACACGACCAACATGGCCTTACCAACTGGGACCCAGCGATTAACCTTATCCAAGCTGGAGCAATCCTGGGCCATCGGCCATGTGAGGAGTGAAACATACATCCAAAAAGCGCCTGTCCAAGGGGATCCTTGAAACCTGGTACTGATGTTTGCTCCCAAATGCATCCCAGGTGTTTCAACAAGGGGAACCCCGGCATTGCTTTTGGCTTCCCTCTACACCAGCCCCCGCCAAACAAGGGTGCCCAAAATCATACGAGCCCAACTCCCGCGGCACAAGCATGCGCAAGCGGGCAAGCGGCCTGAGAGGGGGTTGTGTCGGTAGGCGCACACGAAGTGCCAGAGCAGAAAGGCGAAAGCACAGCTGGCGATGCCCACACCGATCATCACGTTCACCCAGCTCTCCCTGAAGAAGGCAGTGGTCAAGGAGATCCTCGGACATCTGTCGCTTTTTCTGAGGCGACCCTTTTTGGGGGTGGCTTACAGGACAAGCAAAAGGCAACCACCAGTTGGGGGGGGTGTTCCAGCCCAATTTGACGCAGATCAAGGAACATGGAACCCAGCCAGTTCTTCATTGGGACACTGAATCTTGGGATCCCCTTTGCAGGGGCTGCTTCGGGTCTGGTTGTTTGAACATGTGGACCGAAATGTATGGTAGGAACCCCAAGCCATGATCCAAAAGGGGCTCCCTGATTCGGCGCCTGTCGTTTATGGATACTGGGGCTTCGGGCGCAGCCATAAACCTCTCAGGGTGCCCATTGTGTTTTTCAGAGTCTGACACTGCTTGACCAATGAACACGCCATGTCAAGAATGTGAGAGATCTCACCTTCAAATATCGCGGCCCGTGTCTTTTTTGCTTCAACCTATGAAAGCATTGCTAACAGGACTTCACACATTCACTAACCAGATCTAGCCATCGGTTTGAATGTCACTGGTACCAAATGGCACGGGGCAGGCCAGAGGAACTGTGAAGATTGTTACTTCAAGACGATCTTGCGCGAACCCACAAGTGAGCAGCGGCCGTTCTGCTCATTGACTTTGGGTTCTGACAACCTGGGTATACCACTTTACATAGGCCTTACGATACCTTTCAGGCAGGAGACCACCTATTCCATGGCCAATGAGGGTTTTTGGGCTCTGCGCGCACATGGGGATCAAGCCATCTCAGATCGCCGATATTTGATATTGATGGCCTCTGGTGACCGCAAACGACGCAAAGCGATGCCAGGTGGCGTGGTGAGTGCCGGCACAAGGTCCAAGGCACCCCAACCCTGGGAAGCGCTTCACAATGTTTGGTTAAGACCCCTGAAAAAAAAAGTGTCCAGTAGTGAAATCGATTCCCTTTAAAACCAACAGGGCAAAATTAAGCAACATATTCTTAAGTAAATGGAAGACAAGACACCTCTCTTTGGAGGATTTGTTGGGCATCCCTCCCAACTGACATGGACCTGCACAAAGCCCCTTAAGAGGAAAGTAGTCTTTCACCAGGGGTCTATGCACCTCTATATCTTCTGATCCTCACGAAAGTATCAGGGACCAACATCTCGCGAGCCTCACGCACGACTTGGCTGGACCGAAACATGGCAAGGATCATCTGTTCTATTTCCCGGTTGATTGCTTTGTCATTATTGAAACGGACAAATACCTTGCCTTGCGAGAAATTTTCGTTGGAATGTGAAAAGAGAGCGAACATTAAACCCAGGCTTACACACATAAGGCCACTTCGGACTTTCCTGTCATTGTTATCCTTCAGCCCGACCTCAGGCTAGCTTAATATGTTCAAATAATACTTCATATTCTAGCCAAGTTTAAAGATTCGTCATGGAGTGGACTGCTATGGCCCGCAAGGTGAGGCCGTCCATCTTGGTTGCCCTAGATCCTCTGCTCGACTCTGGTCAATTGTTTTGGTGAGCCTCAAATGTAAAACACATAACACGAGGTTTCAGTCACATTGCTTCTCTTTTTTCTCCCTTTCTTTGTAGCTGCACTTGATCCACTTGCTGAGTGGATCACCCAGAAAAAGTCCGAGCTTTGTGTTTAACACTAGAATCATCTTCCCCAAGACTTGTTGGAAAGGGAATGACCTTTTATCACGGTCCAACTGCTGGTTTTTCAGGGGATCGGGTTCATTCCCGAACCGATCCCCGGGTTCATTCCTGGGAGTGAGACAAATCCTCTCGCTGGGCATCCCGACGGGGCCGCTGAGGGTCATCACTGCTAGGAAGGCCAGGCCGCGGGGCCGGGGCCGGCTGAAGCGGAAGAGGTACTCGAACCTAAGCCCAATCCAGCGCCATCATGTGGCATATCCCACATCTTTCCATATGGGTCAAATGTTGAAAACTATGTTTATGCATATGTATATATATATATATATATATATAAATGTATATCTATAAATACATGTACATATATATATATACATAATATATGTACACATTATAAAGAGTGGCTGGTTCTTGGGGGGCCATGTTGCAGGCTCAAAATGGCAGGTGTGCCGTGCTGCGTATGGTTTCAAAAACCAAAGCTGTTGGCTACCTACTGCGGCAGGATGTTGTCCAAATCACTCAGGAGTTGGCCTCCTAACAATCTATAACAATCTGAGAATAGCGCCTGTGAAGCAGCGAGTTGGTTGGTAATTCTGGGGGGAAAAGTGCACCCTCCGGATATGGAGGTGATAAATGCCCCGTGCTTAGAACCCAACTGGGCACAACCACAGAACTGAGGGCAGCAACCGGGGTCCTTTCAGCCTTCTAAGGGTCAAAAGCGGAAGATGTCCACTCATAGAAGACGGTCTCAAGGACTACACAATGACCCAGGGTTGGCTTAGGGTCGGCTAAGGATGTCCCTCCGGTTTCTAGTGAGGAGCCGCTGTTGCAACGCAGCGAATCATGAGGCGCCCGCCCCTGCCCACCAGAAGGATTATCAGAGCCTTTGGATCACAACAGTTCAAGGTTCTTACTAAGAACCCCTTCTTGGGTGGTGAGCCATTTTTGCCGAGAAGTATTGTCCACCCCAACGGGGATTTTTTTGTCCAGTGCGTTCCCGCGAGCAAGCGAGCAATCAAGCAAGCAAGCAAGAATTCAACCAACCGTAAACCAACCCTAAACCCAAGCAAGCAAGGGAACAAGCAATCAGGCAGGCAGGCAGGCAAGCAAGCAAGCAAGCAGGCAAGCAGGCGAACAAGCAAGCCAGCAAGCCGGCAAGCCGGCAACCCTGAGCCAACCCTGAACCAACCCTAAGCAATCCATAAACCAACCGTAAGCCAACCCTAAACCCACCCTCCTAAACCAACCCCAATGCAACCCTCAACCGACCCTAAACCAGCCCAACCCGAATCCAACCGCAAGCAAGCAATCAAGCGAGCAACCCTGAACCACCCCTTTAAAAAAAGCAAGACCGACCCTCCTAAAACAACCTCACAGCAATCCCGCAAACAACTCGGCTCATGCTTGATGTGGCAAAACAGGGGAAGCCCCCCAAAAATCTCGGTTGCTTTCTGCTCCCCTGCTGAAAGTTTAACTTTTAGTGGTTTTATAGAAAACCCATTAGTTGGCAAAAGTTAAAGTCCTAACATCCAAGCAAACTGCACCAAAGAAATGGTGTTCCTGTTTGGCTTCGCTTCAAACCAAACTGCAAAGGGTGTCCGCAAAAAATAGCAAAGCCGGTCAAAAAACATATCTCGTTTCTTCCTGGCTACTGATCATATCGCTATGGTCTTGCGGATACGAAAGGATGCGGTTGCGAAGTGATTCAACAAAGGGACGAATTTGGGTGAAATCTCTATCCCTGAAGGGAAACCAGCTGGATTCACGACAGAACGCGTACACTCAAGCCTGGAACAACATAGCGTGCGTCTCTCACAGGTGTCGTGGCTACAGACTTGGAAGAACTGGCCCATAGTCTGGCAAGCAGCCTAAATGGTTCGTTTGCGGGGGAGTGGTGCCAGTCACGCAAAGCTGACCTGCAAATGCGGCTGAGAAACCACTTTCTCAAGATCTCACAAGAACCCTTCCACAGGTCTCTTCCATTTGTTTTTTCGCCCACTGGAAAACATGAGAACATACATACTTCCAGTAGTGAAATCGATTCCCTCTAAAACCGACCTGAGTGGGTTGTTCAAACAAGGCCTAAACCTGGGAGATTTTTTACTAGAATGGTCCCTGAAAGTGACTCAAGTCCATGCCAGGAAGCCGTGAGGGCAGATGCACCCCGGTGAGGACCGCCAGAAGGAAGCCCATTATGAACCTGTGAGCCCGTTTGAGGTTCGGTACAACACAAACTCGGGGATGTGTGGTGAAACTCTGGCGTAAAATGGGACTGCGCCTGGAATAGGAACTCAAAAGACACCCGAATAACCAAACAAAGCAACAACATGTGTCTGTGTTGGAGTGTCAACGTCTCTGGTGACGCGATGGAAATGATCAAAACTCAAGTTCCCCAGAGATATGAGGCCTTGATGGGTGTCGGACGATCTGATTTGGGGCAGGCTGATTCCAAACTCTGCACCCACCAAGTCGTCTTCAAATGAGCTCAAGGCAAAAACCACAGCGGTCCTGGTGCAAACATGCCTCTCAGCAATGTGTGGGGGCACGTGTGCAGAAGGGATAGCATTTACGGGGTTGTGAGGATTTTAGAAGCCAAACAAAGTGATGATTATGCGAGCGTTTCCGCTTGCCATCCTTGTGTGCGCCCGTACGGTCAGGATCCCGGAAAGTTAGGGCCCCTTCAGCCAGGCTTGTCCCTCCCTGTTGCTCAAACAGACCTATCGAAACGCTGCTTCAGCAATATCGTCTTGGCTTCCCTAATGTTGACCCCACATTAATCAACCCCCAGTTTATTGATAAGGAGGGGGTCAGGGCCCCCTCCAAAAGTGATCTGATTCCAACCACATTTCCCCCAGGGAGAAGGAATCTCCCATGAACAAACTGGGGTTGATGAATATGGGGTGCCGGGACTGGTCGTTTTGCCTTCCGAGATCGCTTCTCCCATTCTTCTGGGTCCTCCAATAGAGAGCTTAGAATAAGGGTCCCAACTTCTTCTGTTTGGTCTATCTTAGTAGGGGAACCGAATCTCCCAACCAAAAAAGAAACGGTGAGCAAGGTTGCACCAATTGCTGGGTTAAAACCTAGCTTTCTTCAAAAACATATATATATATATATATTATATATATATATATATATCGCAAAGCGCGTCAGGCGACATCACCTGGAAGTCGTGCATCACCTCCAACAGGCTGCTGTCTGGGTGGCAGTCTCTGGGAACTCCCAGCCTTGGGCTCTCGATGGGCTGGAAGTTTTTAGGGGAGTGTCGCGGGAAAAAAAAACACAAAAAACAACAATCCTTTTTACGGAAAGCGCGGGTCATTTCAAAAGGTGGGAGTCAACTTGTTCTTCAAAAGATGACTCCAGTGGATTCGACTCCAGTGCATTCCATTCCAGGTCACTTCGGGGGGTCCTGACAGACCACTTGTTCTAAGGTGGATTCCATATTGCAACGAGGGTTAAGATATTGAAGGGAACCCCGCAACAAATCAAGCGCGCTTCCGAATGCACTTGACTTGCGCATGGAGCTCGAAGATCGGATTCCCCAGCCTGGATTCAGAGAACGTCAACTGAGTCGCAACTAAAACCCGGGTATTAAAATGGTTGACCCAGAACCATGTAAGGAAATACAAAGGCGGATACCCGCAGCTGTTTTTTGCCGGGATTGTCCCTTCCTAACCTTCATCTACCCGGGTTTTGATTGTGGCTCAACTGCCTCTGTCTGAACATCGACACAAAGCCGTCCGCTCAGAACACAACAAGCTTCGCCGGATCAGCCCAGCCCAATCCACAGCTAATGCACTGCTCGGCACAACTCTGGACACCGAAAAGTGGTATGAGACTAGTTGGATTTGTCATGGTTCCCCAACTGGGGCTATGGGGCCTGGGGTGTGTGTGGGGGGCTATCCCGTATTAACCCCTTAATAAAGCCTTATTAAGAGCTTGTCCTTGGCTAGTCCCCCCCCCTCCCCAGTTCGCCCCTAAGGGTCCATGAGTCCTGCTTTATGGAAACACATACTCTTAAGCAACGCCTACACCCAAAACCGGAAACCAAGCCAGGCCCAAGTCCGAGCGAGCCGCTGGCACACCAAGCGCACAACGCAGTACTGCACCAGCAGCAGCATAAACCAGGTGGCCAAGCACGCGTATTGCCTAGCAGCCAAAAACCCATCGACCCTTTTGTGTCTTTGTGTGTGTGTGTGTGTGTGTGTGTGTGTGTGTGTGTGTGTGTGTGTGTTTGCGTGTCTTTGCGTCTTTGCGTCTTTGCGTGTTTGTGTGTGTGTGCCCTTGTGCTTGATGGTTTGTGGGGGCTTCAACTTTCGAATGTATGGGCGGGGTGTTTCT